CCTCTCACGCTTCCGACATCTCTTTGTCATATCGAGATTCGACTCTGATTTGGCTATCTCAAATACTTTGTTCTCACTGTCTCCGTCCTAAATACTCTCGATCTGACCGGGAGTACTTAGCATATTTGCTCTATACTCCAGATAATCAAACTCCGCTGTTCGTCACGTATTCACACATGGCCAGATAATTGGCGTGTTACTTGCCAACCACCATGTCACAGCTTGCGTGAACGAGGGAGAACGAAGCTATCTTTGAGGTAAGCTCCCAGCCATCGACGTTCGTGAATTGCACCTGGCAATCATTAGGAATGGGAGACTCGAAAAAGAACAGAGAGGACAGGTAATTAAAGATGATTGTGTAGTAAGAATACAAGTACATTGATGATTCTTGAGCTTAAATAATGATATGTAATAGTCGCTTGCATCTAATACAAATGGTCGTGATCATCTGAATCCCAGATTAGACTGTGAAGAGATTCATCGAAAAAAAGGAGGTCATAATATCATACACATAAATCAGAAATGGAACAGAACACCAAAAGGAATGAGAAGGAACGAACCCCCTGCATTACTCCTCGTCCAACTCCTCATCCTCCTCGGTCACAACGCCCACATTAACCCCCCTTGTAGCACCCCCACCAAGCGTCACAGCCTCAATCCGATCCAAACTTGGTCTGGGCTTGAAGCTCGTCCTCTCCCTCTCCATTTTGCCGCCAACTACCGCAGCCACCGCCGAAGATGTCGATGAGCTTAACGACGCACTCGGGAATCTCTTCCCACCAAGGGCGGCCATAGCAGTCGGCATCCTCCCGTGCCCCAATCCATGATGGGCAGTTCCAGGTTTCGGTATCGGCATCTGCTGCATACGCGGGTGCGGCAACGGCTGTACTCCCCCTTGCCGATGGTCACCGGCACCTCCCGGGGTCTTCATCGGGATCTTTGAGGGCGACGACGTCGACCTAGTTCTCCCACTCTTCGACCCGCTCCCATTCACACCCTTATGCGACGCCAACACTTGCCTAGTCCCCCTCTTACTCACACTGGCAGCAGGCGTAGGAGCCGCACTCCCGTCTCCCATTCGTTGTCGTTTACTTGGGGGAAGGGAGCCAGTCGACATCGAGTTCGACGACGATGCCATGGCCGAGCGTGGTCTCACAGCAGGCGTAACCATACCGGTCCTGCCCCCGTTGCTCCCATTTGACGAAGTCGAAAGCCCGTTACTTGGCGTTGTAGACCCCCCTCCGGCTCTGCCGACACTCGGCGGTACGCTCCCAGGCCTTTCGCTGCCTGCCCTGCCATTGGTGCTGGTATTGGGTGGCGGCACAGATCCAGGTCTATTGGCTTGCGGGCCATATCCACTACTCGTCCCTCTCCTGCCGCCACCATTGGTGTGGTTCTCTTGTTCAACCGTTTCCATAAGACAATTGAGCATGTTTTCGCCATAGACGAGGAACGGCTCGCCGCTCTCCTGTTCCCACTGGGGAAGAAGAGAAAGTAGGTCTTGTTCGAGCTGTGAAATAACATTGTCAGCCTCAAGAAATGCAAATAAGCAGATTAACGCACCCTTGGCTTCTCCTTCGCGACTCTCTTTCTCATCTTCTCCTCACGTAACAGCCTGCCAGGGTCCCTCGCGGGTTTCGGCGCCTTGGTTGCAGGGCCCTTGCCACCAGTACCCTTGGCAGGCCCCCTTCCCAACAAGCGACTCCCATCACTCGCGCTTTCAGCCAACTCCTTCTCCTCCTCACAAATCTTGAGATATTTCTTGATCGCACTCAAGATTGGCAGTTTCGCCCTTCGTTCCTCTTTCAGCCGCTTGATCTCGTGTTCGTGCAGCGTCAGAAGATCCTCCGTGAATTCATCGTCGAAGAACGGGGCGAAATCCGCCCTCTCTTGCTCACCAACCATAACATCGTCCCACAACTTCTCAATCTCCTCCCTCGCATTGCTCACGAACAAGCCCATCCTCTCCCTCTTCAGCTCCATCATCCTCTCCAACTCCTCTTCGTACTCCTTCACACAAGATCTTGTGCTTCCTCTATTCACATCGACAAACGCATCGATATCCTGCTCCGACACGCCAAGCCGCGTCCACAACACCTCGAGCTGGTCGTACATGGCCTGAATATGCCTCTCCCTTGTACGCTTGAGATCCGTGAGAGAGTTGACAAGCTGTGTTGCCCATGCGAGAAGTTGCAGTGTGGGTTCGACATTTTCGAGGCCTAGCGGGATATTGGGATTCGGGTTGCTTGGCGGGCGGGAGGCGTTGCTGTTTGCCGACGTGGAGGACGATGCGGCTTCGATACGCTCAACAAATGTCTGGTAGACCTTGTAAAAGTCTGCTTCGGTCGCTGGTGGAGATACTGCGGCGGGTTCTTGGTGTTGTAGAAACATGGGATGTATTTGTGAATTGGAGCGAGAAGCGGGTGTGGGCGTGCTGATTGAAAAAGGGTCATTGCTCGATGCGCCTAGTGCAAATGAGGAGTAGGTTGGTGATGATGAAGCCAGAAAGTCTTCTTGTGTAATTCCTAGCTCTGAATGCAGCCATTCAATTTGTAGGAAGGACGTCGATAGTTGTTGGAGACGCTTTGTCTGTAGGAAAGCTTGTAAATCGAGATGTGGCATCGCTGGTCAATAAAAGGGACGTACAACTTCTGCTTTACCCCGAACAAGCTCTTTCTCAAGCTTGAGGAAGCGGTCCTGCGAGACGTCTCGAGGAGCTTCAGGATCTTCCATGATAGGTTCTATGATTTCTATATCGAAGAACTCGTCGCCTAGTGTCTTCTCGAGGACGTGAATCCGGTTCGTGAGTGTAGTCAGTTGCTCGAGTTTCGTGTGGTACGCCTGCTTCAGCTTCTCCTGAAAGTCCACCAAGATATCATATCTCTTCGGTAGTGATTCCTCCTTGCAGGTTGCAACTGCACATTCACCTGGCTTTCGTCCTAGAGCCTGAGTGTACGTTGCGCACACGCTTTCAACATCTACAATCTTTCCTTTCCATTCTTCCACCTGCTTTCGTCTGGTGTCGATTTGGCGTTTGACGCCTTGAATGAGTTGGTCCTGGAGCGATTTAAGCTCGTCCTGAATCGCAGATGGCGGAAGACCGAGTTGTGCATGGAGGTCAGGCAGCAGTTGTGTTTGGGTTTGTAAATGTGCATGTAGTGAGTCCAGAAGAGATTTGAGGGGCGAAACCGCTGTGGGTGTCCCCGTCGTTGTTGCTGGTGTCGTCGTCGACATTGTCGCCGACGTCGTCAGTCCGTAAGCAGGTAAGATGGGGTTCGAGATGGTGGAACAATGAAGGTAGCAACGAGGCCAAGGAAACCGCAGTCAACGAACCGCGTTGAACGCCACGTGATCGCGCCCAATTTATCGTACAGCCACCCCCTATCCAGACATTGTCGGCGATTGCCGAGATCGCGCTCGCTTAACCCTTTGACCTGATTTGTTCTCTGCATCTTAACTGCTTTCCTCCCGACCATCTCAATCATCCAAGTCCTTTACACAGAATACTAATGGCTGATCAACTGGTATGTTTCTACTGCAATGGATCTGTTGAAGGAAGAAACTCATACAGGTATTTGTAGTCAGAAGGTGAGGGATTGACTTCATAGATTCGCTTGGTCCATGGCTACCGCGCGGGCGATCAGGAGCTTACACACATTTTCTACCTTCCAGAGCAGATTTCTGGTAAGAAACCCACCAGCGATCTTCCAACGATCTCTTCTTCTGACCTGCGTTTTATTCAGAGTTCAAGGAGGCTTTCTCGCTATTCGACAAAGGCACGTCCTCCCCACAACCTTATCTTTGGGTATCGCGGCTAACACAACGGCCGCGCATTTGCAGATGGCGATGGCACAATCACCACCAAGGAGCTGGGAACTGTCATGCGCTCGCTTGGACAGAACCCTACCGAGGCTGAGCTTCAGGACATGATCAACGAGGTCGATGCTGACGGCAACGGCACCATCGATTTCCCAGAATTCTTGACCATGATGGCTAGGAAGATGCGCGATACCGACAGTGAGGAGGAGATCAAGGAAGCGTTCAAGGTCTTCGACAAGGACGGTAACGGCTACATCAGTGCTGCTGAGTTGAGGCATGTCATGACCAACCTTGGTGAGCAACAGTTCCGCTTTCCTTTCATATTGGGTTGCTGGGTGGTCTGTTTGGAATAAGGATAATAACTAACGCGCGCTGCGGTATCCAGGCGAGAAGCTCTCCGACTCAGAAGTTGATGAGATGATCAGGGAAGCAGACGTCGACGGTGATGGGCAAATCAACTACGAAGGTGCGCAACCATTTACACATTTTGCTTATCATCTGATCACTTACCCCGCATGTCACAGAATTCGTCAAGGTGCGCCACCCCGCTGTGTTTCCCTCACACACCAATACTGACAACGTTCTTTCCCCTTCCTTTGCAGATGATGCTTTCTAAGTAAACACTCCACTCGCCGCTCCATATTCTTAATACCTACGCAACACGTACATACCGAAACCAACGAACGATTTAAGTAGTAGTGCCAATAACTCATCGATACGCCAGATTATCAGTAATGAATGGATGATACAAACTCAATTCTCTATCTTATCATCTTTCATAGATCGGTAATAACCAAGGACAGCTAGACTCAGATGCGGCGCATAACGAGGATGTCATGTCGTGATTCATGGTGATTCACGAAGAGTACATGTGCTTCTAGTTGCGCTTGGGCATGGTCACAGTCGTGATGCTCATCAGCTCATGGTCCTTCTTAGGCGTTTCCCAAACCCCGTTATCTAAAAAGCTGTTGAGAGCGCTATCTTTATGAATGCCTGGTGTGCTGATAGGCAGACCGAGATGAATATCTTAGGCTGCAAGGTGCATGTAAAATAACACCTTAGAGACTACATACATTCAGTTTAAATTTGTGCAGACGGAGACATTATAAATACCCGCGAAACGCCAAGCTTGGGAAACTTTCCTTTACGAGATGAATATCAGGCAAGACAAAAAGAAACCTTGCCCCCTGGCTGGATTGAACAACCGACCTCATCATTTCCGCTGAATCCTAGAGGAATCAGTACGAGTGATGCGCTCTACCACTGAGCTAAGAGGGCTTGTGTATCAATCACGCGTGGGTAGATCTGTCAGGCCAGCCCTTATTTGGCCGCAGGACTTGAGGAATCTGGTTCCAAGGTTCGCTGTGTCCGACGTTGTGGGGTTCTTTGAAGTTTGAATCATGATCAGTCTTTTCAGGCGCGAAGATAAGCACCAACTTCGATGCAGATGACAAGATATAGAATACTGAAATACTGAAATACGCATAGTAGGTACTGGATTGAATTCAGTGAATTTTGACAAAGTTTGCCCATGGTCCTGTTCTATTTTTGATTCAATGGGGCAACTGATATTTCATCGATAGCTGATATACTGATTCAGACAACCTTTGAACGTAGCTTTCGTCGCCTCTGTACCTTGGCTCTGTCGCCATGATTCAGGTAACGGAACAAGCCCCTGCGGCGAGCTCACAAATGCGCAATGTTCTCATGGATATCATGTTGTCTTATTCACAGGATGAGCAGCTCGACTTTGCTGAAATTTGCGACTTCATCAAAACTGCGGTCCAAAAATGCAAAAACGAGATGGATATGGATAACCTAGACAAGGCGATCACCTCCCTTGAAAACATGTCCGGTCAGTTTTACGGTTCCGCAGAATTCCAGCGACTGGTCTGTCTCGCCTCGGCCGGGTTGACCAAATATTTTCGTTACGGATGGATATGCGTCTTCGAGACGACCCTGAAGCTTATGGCCAAGATTGGTTCACTATCAGCGGTGCGGGTCCTTCCTCTTAAACAAACCAGTCGACCTTACGCCATTCCGTTTGATAGGCGAACCAGAAGCCAGCTTCTAAACATCCAGAAATCGTCAGAAACGGGGCAATCCCCTTGGACATATGTAGAAAATCATTCAATATCGAGCTCGTCGACTGCGCCATCGAGTATTGCATTGACATGCTACCATTCTGTACCCAGGACAACCCCCAACGTGCCGATTTACTTCGATACACCTCTGAATCCCTGGTCATGAGGTACCTACATCGACGAAACCCGGCCGATTGTTTCTCAGCCCTTTCTTATTTTAAAGAGGTTGCACAACTTACCCCGCCACAGGACTGCAACAGATACGAACGCTTGATGGCAGTCTGTCACGTTGCATCTATCGCATCCATCGAGCTCCATGCACAATGGGCTGGCCTTCAAATCGTCGAGTTTTACCAGAAAGCAATAGGCGTGGATCACGAGGCAAGCCAGGCCATGACAGAAGGGGTGGATCTGCTCAGAAGAATCCAGACTGGGAAGGACAGCGCCTGCATTGAGCGTTCGATCTCTTCATTATCTGCCTCCCTCCGTTTGCGGCCTTTTCCTCATCCCCAACGGTCCCTTTCCCTCAACAACCTGGCTTCCGCTCTTTACAGCCGGTTCGACTTAGAAGGATCGTCAACTGATCTCGAGGAGGGCATTATCTACCACAATGAAGCATTATCGCTTCGGCCTCACCCTCATCCCGAGCGCCCTCCAACTGTCTACAACCTCTGCAAATCTCTCCTCACGCGTTTCTCTCGCAATGGTTCCCTACTCGATTTGGATCGAGCCGTCCTTCTATCCCAAGCTGCACTTCGAGATCATCCAACGGCGGACCCGGGACATGCCGGATGGCTCAAAACCCTCGCCGATGCACTCATTGTCCGCGGAAAGCAAAAGGGAACTGTAGATGACTTTGACGAAGCCGCAAAACTGTATGAGCGAGTTATCAGCCTCGGGCCTGCTACAGATCTGGAGAGAGCCGACGCATGGACAAGTTTTGCACGGGCCATGTCCTTATTATCCAGCCATAGGCCTGTACACGAGTACAAACAGAAGACCGTATCAGTCCTACGTGAAGCTGTCAAGACCATCCCAAGATCTAACCCCAACTACTTATCCCAAGTCCACAGCCTCGGATGCCAGCTTCGAGAACTATATTCAGAGACCAAGAATCTCTCACACTTGGAGGAATCGACATATTATCTACAAGAGGTGTGCAACTCGGTGCAACCCACGCAGGCAGAGCGCATGACCCCTTTCCTTAATCTCGCCCTCAGCCATGAACATCACTTTATGGAAACAGGCAGCATACACTCCCTCGAACAAGCCATCTCCGCTCACCGAGACGCACTTTCAGCCACACCCCCCTCACATGGCCAGTATCCTTTAATTTGCAGCAGGCTCGGGCGAGCTCTCCTCTACAAGTTTCAACGCCTGGAACCCAAGAACCCATCCAGTCAACTCCTCAAAGAGTCAATTTCGCTTCTGAAAGCCGCGGCAAAATCCCCCGTCGGGTCCATCCGAGACCGACTGGAGATAGCCCAATGGTGGGCGTTAAGCGCATGGGTTTTCCGGCCAGCTTCTTCCCTTGAGGCATACGAGTACAGCATCAGTCTGTTGCCGTTGCTTGTATCCTTTGATATGACGCTCAAGGAACGTCAGGACGTTTTAATCCATCACAAGGACCTTGCATGCAATGCAACCAAATGCGCTATCGAGAACCGCGAATTTGAGAAAGCGGTCACGTTCCTCACAAACGCGCGATCCGTGTTTTGGTCGCAAGCGATGCAACTCAGTTCACACATCCACGACAACCGGTTCTCAGCCACCGGACATCCCCTTTACCAACGTCTTCTCGAAATCTCGAACGAGCTGGAACAAGCGTCACATAGCTCTGCGATGCCCGCTGCTTCTTCCGCTGAGACATGGGGTCTTACAGGAGCCATAAGAAATGAAGAGCCACTTTACTACCAAAATCTCTCAGACGAATGGTATAAACTGGTGGGCCGAATTCGGCAGACCAAGGGGTTCGAGGGCTTTATGCAGCCCCGAAGCTTTGCTTCGATCCAAAAGGCCGCTGGACAGGGTCCCGTGGTCCTACTCAACGCGAGTGCCCAACGGGGGTGTGATGCTCTGATTATGACGTCGGATTCGATTGAGTGGGTACCATTGAAGGAGATGAGCGTCGAAAAGTTGGATAATCTGAAAAAGGTGGTCCGACAGCTGACCTCAGGACGTTCTGTTGATGAGCAGACGCTCGAGGCCCTCCGTGAAATGCGGGATATTGCTGACGGCGATGGAGAAGATGTGACAGTGCGCCTAAAGGGCAGACGTGTTGCTACTCCAGGTCGCGGCCCTGATGATCTCTTCCGTGTCACGCTTGAGATTATCTGGAAGACCGTTGTGCAACCCGTGATATTGCGGCTGGGTCTAAAAAAGACTGTGAGTGCGTTGATTTAGCAAACTTGGACACACTTATAGCTTTACTCAGGCTGGGCAACCTATTCAACGAATCTGGTGGTGCCCCACAGGTCCTTTGACCTTTCTCCCCATCCATGCGGCAGGCGTATACTCCGAAGGAAGCAATGAAGATATTGATTGTTTATCTAGCTACGCTATCTCATCATATTGCACCACGCCCCAAGACCTTCTTTTCGAGTCTCAAAATCCACCTACTAGTGAAGAAGATGACAGCGAGTTCAAGCTACTCGCCATCATCCAGCCCGAAGTCCCTAATGCCAACTCGCTGCCTTACACCCAAACCGAGTTGCAGCGCATCCTCAATCACCTTCCCAAACTACCTAATGTCCATTTCACCCAGCGTATTGGAACGAAATCATCGCCTACCTCTGTCGAGCGCGTTCTACGGGACTTGGGAGACCCCCAGCTTGGGCTAGTACATTTTGGGTGTCACGGGATGCTAAACACTACAAGCCCTCTCGAAAGCCCACTTTTGTTGAGTGGAGGCCGGTTGACAATGGGAAAGATTATCAAGGAGCGGAGAAAGGTTGGGAAAAGCCTGGGTGGCGCACTGGCATATTTAAGCGCCTGTGAGACTGCGAGTGTGGATGAAGTAAGGCCAGACGAGTCTCTGAGTTTGGCTGCAACGATGTTGTTTGCAGGATTCAAAGGCGTAGTGGCGACAATGTGGTGAGTAGAATGAGCAGCACGAAGTTCAGCTCCTTGGGTGTCTGACCTGTGGATCTCCAGGTCAATTTATGACAAGGACGCGCCAGTCCTGGCGGACTCGTTTTATGGGCACTTTCTTGGAAGCGCATCTGGACGTTCAAGCAAGAAGCCAGATGTTACTGATGCCGCACGTGCGCTACATCTTGCTGTGCAGGATCTGAAGAAGACAGAGAAATCGTTTCTACATTGGGTGCCTTTTGTGCACTTTGGTATCTGAGGCGTCCACGAGGTTATATGCCCATTGCCATTCTGTATATAAATAATCCCTCAATTCTGAAAGAAAAGTATCCCTTAAGTAAAGCGAGCAAGTTGTCAGTAGTGATTCGCAGCCCGAAACTTATCAAGCGCCCATTGAACGGGCTCCAGGCCATGAGTCTGAAAGTCGCAAAGACAGATATCCGAGCTTGAACGATTGAGCCAGGGATTATCACAGACGGTTCCAATAGCTAATCGGATGATAATATGGTTGGGTGAACGTGGGCCTTGTGGTTGGGAAGGATTAGGATCCGGATACAGACAATCAACGACGTATTAGATCATTGTAGGTACAGTTACATATCATTATTTAAGCTCAAAAATTATCAATGCACATATCTCCTTTGCAGTTACCTTCACTTGCTCTTTCCAGAGTCTCCCACAGTAGCCATCTTATTCACCCTCTCCACCTCGTCAACCAACAACTTCATCCGATGGCTATTCAACGATAGGTCCAACACCACACTCCCATCCTTCAGGCGTCCCGCGATGTATACCGCATTCGTCACCAGCAAGTTCCAGATCGAGATGTTGTACCTGTACCCACACAGAGTCTTCTTGGCGCCGACCAAGCTCCAGTCGGTCTCGAGGATGCGCGAAGAAGAAACGTTGGAGATGAGCAGTTCGTCGTATGCGTCCGGGTGTGCGGTATAGGGCTGTTCGCGGATGTGTGTTGTGAGTGTGTGGTAGGCGGAGGTGATGTGGGACTTGTTGAGGCTCTGGCGGGACTGCGAGAGGGTGTGTGTGAGGGTGTGCAGGGGTGTGGACTGGATGTGGGAGGCGGGGAAGGTGGGGTAGGGCAAGGGG